ATGAATGAGTATGTGGGTAAATAAATGATTTGCTAGAAACTTGGAGAATGTAAAGTTTCACTCAACAGCTGCTTGCTAGGTATGACTAGCAAGGTATTTGATTAGGTATTTGTACTCTCCTCTGTGTTATTGTGAAAGGGAGCTCACTTCATATATGTCAGAGAATCTTCCCCATCTCTTTTCCTTCCTCCTTCTCCCAAAACTGGGCAAGTCCTAAATGTAACAGGACAAAAGAAGCAAGTTCCCCTATGTCACCTTCTCTTGCTCATCCTGAATCCTCCCGTAGATGTTGGTACTGAATAGACATTCAGAAAACATACATTTAAGGAATAAACAGAAAATATTTTTTACAATACATTAAATTTTAGACTCAGCTAAATTCCTCCAGAGTAATCTGTGTCTTTCAGATAATCCTGTCTGCTTTCAATGACTTTTCAATTTACCCGTCTGTGATCAGCAACCACTGGGACAGCCCCACCAGGCCGTTTGCCTAGGCTCTTGTCCCTGTGTGATCTCTTGCCCTTGAGAGGCAGCTGGAGTTAGCAACTCAAAGCTAGGGAACAGAGCAGAGCAGACGTGAAAGAATGTCACTTCTGAGAATGTTATAATAAGGCAAGCCTGGATCTTGAGTGCTCTTGCTTTCACTCTGAGACGCTTATTTTGGGAGAAACCAGCTGCCATGTCGTGAGGCAAGCATGTGAAGAGGTCTGTATGAGTGAATCTGGGACCAGACTCTTCCTTCATTGAGCACCGAGAAACCATAGCTCCTGCTGACACTCGGCTGAAGCCTTCTGGGATACCCCAGCTGAAAATGCTCAGCTAATCTGCGCTGTGCTTCTTTGATTACAGACACTGGGCAACAATAGATGTCTGTTTTCCTCAGTTGCAAAGCTTTACAGTCATTTGTTATGTAGCAGTAGGTAACTGATCCCCAGTGCTCTGGTAGAACATTTGAGATTTGCACCCACACTTATGCATAATTTTTAAAGCATTATTATTGTAAATTTTAACTCAAGATGTTTAACTGAAAATGTTTCTTCCAAAGAAGCAAGTTCATGTATCTAAAGGAAGCTTATTTTTCATAGCTGAGTCCACTTTCTGAACTTGTAGTGTTTATTTTTGTGCGTATATTTAAACTAGTGGCCGAACACAATTTAAAAACTTTTTTTTCACTGAATGTCTACTTTCTATTAGATGGTTTTAAACATTTTACATATATTATCTCATCTAATCTTTTAAAAAATCACAACCATCTACAGTAAGTTGGAGTCATTATCCCATTTAGAGAAGCAGAAGAACAAGCAGGGTAAGCAACATTGCCAAGGTCAGCAGCCAGCAAGGGGCAGAGCTAAACAGATTGGATCTAAAGCCGATTCTAACCACTGGTTTATCCTACAGCCTAGACCAAGAGACAGGTGGTATAGAAGAATGGAACAAGTCAGAAAGACTTAAAAACTAATCCCCATGGGAAATGTTACTTAACGAGGCCTAGAGATTTTCTGATTAAAATATAAAATACCAATCGTTGATAGATTCTTTTTTTTTTTTTTACATCCTCAGTTCTTTTTTATTTATCTTTAAGTTTTTTTTTGTTTTTTTTTTTTTTTAAGAGGAAAAAGAGAAAAACACAAAACAAACCAAAGCGGCGTAAGGGTACACGCAATACAGAACTACAAAACAAAACAAAACAAAACAAAACAAAACAAAACAAAAAACCATAACAGTAAGAAATTACCTGCTAGTAGATTACACACTATTTTCTTGAAAATAGTTCCTCAAATCACAGTATCAAAGAACACAAGGTGGACATTCAAACAGGGAGACTGCAAACAGCTGTGTTCAATGTTCCAAAAACATTGATAAAGTCAGCTATTTAACACCCCCAAACACACTTGCTGTTATATCCGTTAGAGCTCCTTTTCTTTTTTTTTTTTTTCCCTCTCTTTTTTACAACAAAATTTACACATCTTGGATTTTATTACTCCTTAGTGCTTATTACTTTCTTTGGGGGGGGGAAGAATACAGTCAAATATGGCAAAACAAAGCTGTCAGTCAATACCAAGGATAGACGTAGCACATGGTGTAGAACAGAGTACAAGTTTATCAACAATGGTTACGTTGATAGATTCTTAGAAGGATTACATGGGACAGATGAAACAAATTCAATAAGCACTAGCACAGTCTCTGGCATGCACAAGTGCAGAAAAAAATTTACAAGTGAAAAAAGGGGACAGACACCAAACTATCATTAGGGGGAAAATCTTAAAAGAATACAAAGTTGACTTTCCCTTTCTTTAAAGCGATAACTGAGGTCAGTAGAAAAATACACAAGCCTCCCTGAGGAGACTCCTGAGTCAGCATCAGATCCACTGACATGCCCAACTCACTGACACCTGCTGACATCAAGAGGGGCAAGGATGGTGACCTCACCACATTTCCACCTCATCTAGGACCCTAGTGGCTTGCCAGAATGATCTTTAGAAGAAAAGCCTTATGAAGTAGGAGTAGCTGGAAAATCAGAAATTATCATGGGGAAATGTAACAGACATTTGATTTAAAGCCAGCATGACCTTGAGAAAACTAGATTAGGGCTTGGCCATTCAGCCATGCTAAAGTTCACCCTTTTATTCAAGAGCCTGAGAGCCCAGGGCACAAATAACTTTTCTACACACTCTCTTTTGGCAATGAGGCCTCTCACCATCTGGCCATGGGCCTGGGTCATTATTGGTGTCACACTGTGCCTAGAAATTCTAGAAGTTTCTGACAGAGTTAGAGTGCTTCAAAAGAAGTTCTTTTGTTCTGTTGTTTGTTTTTGTTTTTGTCATTTTTCCCCAATTTGGTTTAATGAATGGCATGTTGTGAGAGGATTCCTTTTTAACCTCCATTCTGGAAGATGTTCATAACTTACAACTAGGTGCCTTCCAAAGTCTGCCAGACCAGACAGGTACACAGACATTTCTAATCAGAGTCCAACCAATCCCAGAAAACCAGTTTCAGTGAAAAATGAAGTGACTGATGGACTAAGTCTAAACGATTTTGAGCTGGGTAAAAATTCCACTTTCCTAGTAAAAATCATGTGGAGCTGTAAAATTCAACTTCTGAGACTGCTTGTAGGTTTGCATATTAATGTTTCTGAATCTAAGTCTTTTACTCTGCATATAATTTGAATGTTGAAAATTAAAGCATAGGTAACAAAGCATAAACTCTAGTTATATTAAAAATAAAGACTGCAAGTACATAAATTGGTACCTGGCTATATATTTACAGTTCATGAAGGGAAGGAGACCAACTTTTTTTGAGGGCCTGTTATGTGCCAGGCTCTGTACAGGTGTGCTTTTCATGTTGCTCATTCTTTGCAACAGCTCTTTCAGCAACTTGTAATTATTCTTTTATTACAGAAGAGGAAATTGATGCTCAGAAACATCATTGGCAGAGTAAGGTTTGAACCTGGGTCTCACTGATGCTGAAACTCTTCCTTTGTTACCAAATAATTTAATTCCCTTCCTAAGGAGACTAATATATAGTTTTCAGCTTAATAAGATTGAATTAAGCTCAAGGAATTAAAAAATGAAGATAGCAACTACCCAAATTCCTCATCAAATCCATCTGACAATGGCAGTAATGATGACAATGAGCAAACATGGCCCTGTAGATAAGCCAGGGACAATTCCTATCAATCATCTCAGATGAGTCTCCTCCACACTACGGAGTGAGTGTGGTGATCACACAGACTGGCTGAGGCCGTACCTGGGCAGGATGAAATCTTTACCCAGATAGTCTGACTTCTGGGGTCACACTGTCTTCACTATGTCTGGAAAAGTAGGCAGGAAACCTAAGGACTAACTCCAAACATACACCAGTCACTCGATGGAAGACAAAATACTCCAAGGCTACCAGGGCTATGTTCTCATGTTAACCGACAAGTTGAGCAGTTCCCAGCATATGTTATAGTTGATGAGAATGGCGATTAATCTGATAGAAAGAAGTCATACAAATGTTAATGCATGGAAGAGAAGTCATAAAAGATGCCGCTAGAATCAGTTCCTCAAATGAAAAGAGGGCTGCTGTGTAACACTGTACTGAAATGAAAATCGGGGAATTCATTATTGCTGAGCATGGTGTCATGGTGATAAAGTACTGCTGTGGGATGGGCCTTTCCTAATTCTTAAACAGAATGTGCATCCTCCTTCTCCCTGAAACACAGAATCTGCCGGCCTGCTCTGCCAAGAGAAGTTTGACTTCTGGTCCTTTTGGCTTAGAAAGCATGATGTCAGAGTGCAAAAGTTGAAAAATGGACAGAAAAAGTTCAGTCTTGAACACCAATTTTTTAAGCCAATGTCTGTTGGGAGCTGTGAAGGAAGAAAGGAATACAGTAGTTCTAAGTTCTGTTCATCTTTAATTCTTTAAAATGGTATCACTATTTAGTATCAAAGAGTTTCATGGCTATAGAAGCTCAACTGCACCTAATCTCTCTTGTCCTATCAGGTGTGGCAGGATAGCTTAGTGGTTATGTGGGCTACCAAGTTAACTACTCATGTCAGAACCTGGCTCTGATACTTGCCAGCTATGTGACCTTGGTCAAGGTGCAACTCTTTTTTTCTTTTTGTACTAGGAATTGAATTCAGGGCCTCATGCTTGCTAGGTAGGTGCTGTGCCTTTGAGCTACACTCCCAGCCCAAGTTGCAACTTCTTGACGAATCTCTTCTTCTTGAAGAATCTTCACCTGAAAATAGCAGTGAAAGGGGGTTCTACCTTCTGGGGTCACTGTAAGTATACATGAGGCCCTTAGAACAGACTCAATCATGCTACCAGCTTTCAACAGATACTACTGACAGGTACTAAGTGTATCGTAATGTTCACTGCCCATAATTTTGCATTCCTGAGCAACACCCAACCAAATTACAGTTTGTATTTCTATGTTAATTAAGAGGCTGGTATATGTGAATTATGGGATTATTCAATACAAAGACTCTTCAACCCTTAAAAAGAAATCAACTAAATGCAAGTAGTAACTATTTATTGTATTGACATATTTACAAAATATTACAAAGTACAATACCATTCTAATTCACCATATTACATAAGAGCTGCATACATGCAAGACAAAGTATATGAAAAACATTTACTTCTGTCTTTGGTATTAGAAATCTACATATATCCACAGAATTTAAAGTTTCCAATACAAAGTATTAAATGTAGACAAAGATGTAACTGGTAATGTCATGAAAATGGGATCTAATATCCTCTGCTATGAAAACCTCCAGGTCAATGAAACTCAACACAAAGACCACATATCTGTAAGGGAGGAGTCTATGGATGGAAATAAACAATACATGCCACAGTACTGTACACAGGAGCAGTTCAGTTTGTGTGAAGCTGCACTCTCTGTAATAACACTTGCCTGACAGTAACAGACAAACATTCCCAGACACAGTCATAGATAAGACTTTATAGGAAGGAATCCACTCAAACGATTCACCTTGGTGGTGTAACTCTACTGTACAGAACATTTTATAAAATACATTTTCATGGTCATTTACACATTTACAAAGACTTGACTGATTTTAGCAAATAACAATGTTTCTAAAAGACAATCACAGTTTACATAATTCTGAGGTAAGGCCTTGAATCTATTCTAGATGAGAAGTCCTAACCTAGGAGGGTCTCTAGCAGGGAATGTGTGACCACTGAACATCAAGTTCAGATACCCAAGTATGCTGGGAAGAGGGAAGGCAGAGCCCCTTCATTTCAAAGATGATCTGACATTTCAGAACCAAATGTTCCTTGTTTGGTTCTATGAAGTTAATGCTTTGCATTTTTGTTTATCCAAAACACAAAACATTTTCAGCATCTTTTCAGAACATCACTTCTACTGTGGAGGAAACATTTCATCAGGAAAGGGCCAAGTTAGTGTCTTAACTTGACTGCCTACATTGGTGACTGGGCATTCCAAGAAGAATGTATTTAGATCTTACAAAAAAGGGAAGACTTGGTAAAAGTAATGTTCTGCAACACTCATCTTCCGCTAGGTGATAAATGCCCAGAAAGGCCTGCAAAAGGGAAGACTCTCAATGTCACAAGTCCACAGAAGCCCAGTGACCCTCTTTTTTGTCCCTAAATGCATAAAGGACCCAGGTGTGCTTTCCTTCCAAAAACCTCAACAAATTTGTTTGTGCTCAAGTAATACTCCATGAAAATATAGGATTCAACAAATATGCTGCACATCTATCCAGGAAGAAGGAAAGGCTAATGTCAATAGATACTGGTGCTATAAAATCATTTACTATGGAGTATAGCCCTTGATCTGCTTTGTAAACAACACCACTTTACTCAGGTTATGGGAAACTACCCATAATATATCTAACCATGATTACTTCATCAAGTACTACATTTTCAAAATAACCCTATGGCATCATGAAAGTTGCAAAATTTAGTACGAAGACAACTGTCATGTGCTTTATCTCCTCATTTTTATAAAAAGGAGTGTGCAGTTATAATCAGAACATCAAATGAGTAACTCAAATCTTTCTGGAATATATCACTTATGACGCAAACCTAAGCATTTATCTTTTATATTTTATCATGAGTAACATCTGGGGGTGAAATTGTTTGTTGGGCAATGAGTCACCTGTTGGACAATTTATGATAAGTAATGCTGAATCTTTCCAGTATACTGGATCTTTCCCAAATGAAAACACTCTTAATTTTTTTTTTCCTGCTAGGCAAAACAGAATTAAACCTCTGCTTCTTTGTCCCATCAAAAATTTTGGTGAATGATGCTTGACAATAAAGAAACCATGCATTAAGCATTTACTAGTGGATGGCCTTTAGGGTATCTGACCTGATGGAGGTAAAGAGAATCTGGATGAATGTGTTTGCAGGTCTCTTTTGGGAAGCAAAGCTTTTGGCCTTGCCCTGGTCCCTGACAATGACAGATGGGCAGGCTGTTTCTTGCATGGCTCTAGGCAAGCCATTAATCTGTCAGTACCAGCATCTTTAAAAATCCCAGCATTAAGACTTAGGAAGGGAAAAGGAGGGAGGATGCTGAACAGCCAGAAATGCAGCTTTTTAAACACTTCAGGTAATTCATAATGCTTTGCAGGCTCTGCTTATTTGTTCTCTGAGATTTTGGGTGCAGGATTCAATGCTGGATTGGAATTTATTCATCCTCTTCCACATATGTGGATGGAAACCAGCCCACCTGAAAAAGAAAGGCAACCGACATAGCAACATGACTTTGCATCTGGCATTTCAAAAGATTCTACAACACAGCATTTTGTTTTTGTAACATCCCAATTAAGTTGAGATTTTATGCCTGGTGTAGGTAAAGAAGATAAGTTTAACTGCTCTTACAAGCTTAATAGAGTAAATGATAGAAATAGAGAAATAAAATAAGCTTAAACAGTGTTCTACTCCACCAGCACACAAATAAATATGTAAATTAAGTGTAGTATGGGTCTCAGCCACATAATGATTCCTATTTCTGCTGTGGGACAGGATATAAAGACAGAGGTACTACATCCCATTCTTTCCAATCGAGATCAGCAGCTCTTAGAGATATTTGGCACTATCCATAAAGTGTGTAAACCAGAGCTCAGGTTCTAAAAAGAACTGAAATGCTTCTCAACTCCTCTCCAAATGGGAAGTTATGACACTTGCTGGAATGAACTTTACTTATGTCACTACGATATTCAGTGAACACACTGGTAGTGAGCTCCTAGCCCTGGCAAGGTAGAATACCAGTCTCTGAAGGCCAGGGTTCTCTCGTGTGAAGACTACAACACAATAGGGACCTTCTGTCCAGGGCAAAAGCACGTTGAGAGGGACAACTCACCCTGCCATTCACTTCTCCTCTCCACCAGCCATTCGCACTCATCTTTGTGTAAATCTTCACCACATCTCCTTTCAACAAGGACAGTTCTCGCATGTCTCTTGCACAGAAGTCATACCGAGCGATGGCAATGCCCAGTACTTTTGGACTTAATACTGTAAAGAAATTATGGGAGGCAGAGTTGATATGGGCTTGGTTAACAGCCATGCGGCCCTAATCAAAGGAACATTATTGATGTTATCAGATGCACATTCATGATTTCATTACAGACCAGTGATAATGGCGGAGGAGCTTGAAAGCAGCACAATTGCTGTTTCAATTCAATCATGTGCAGGCAAATTCATTTTATAAAGTTTAAACCACCTCTGTTCTATTTTCACCTTCTTTGTAAAAACTTCAAAACAGGGACTAGTTTTTGTAAAAACAAAAACAAAACCCAAACACAACTAGTTTATATCTAAATTACTATCTGAAGGACAGAATCTAGAATATGTTAGCATAAATTCCCTATTAATGGCACAGTAATCTATTTCTAATTAGAACCTCTGAGATGAAGCTTTATATTTTTATCTGGTAACTGACTGGCCTTACACTTAAAACAACTCAATTCTGTGCTCTAGTCAAATTGATGTCATCGTATCTATTTAAATGGTTTTTCTCCAACTAACCTTTTTATTCTAAAATTATATATATATATATATATATATATATATATACATACGTGTATATATACACATAAAAATGTATATGTACACACATGTATATAGTCAATTATGTAAAGAAGTGTGAAGCAGGTTTCACAGAAAGAACACAAATAATGCCTTCTTTTCAAATAAATACTGCCTCACAGAAAAATTTACTGAAATAGTCAATCAAAAACAAGATGTCAGGGTCTTCACTTCATGTGTTAGGTGTTTGTTATTTGCTTGTTATAGTGTTTTTGATAGCCAAAGAGGAGCTTGCCCTGACTGAAGTGAGAACTCCATTCAAGCTATATATGTTGGTGAGTCTCTAGTGTTTCATAACATGCTTTATATTAACTTCCCCACCTGTTGCTCTCTGAGGTTATAAAGGGTTTTCAATTATATGTTCGGTGAATCTGAGAATCACTCATCTGAGATTGGTGAGACTTTATAGATCTTAACGGGAGAAAGACTAAAGTGTAAGAAAACAAGATAAATGGGATGCACCATCCATCTGTATTTTTTACAGTTTCTAGTGGCCAGGCAGCTGCAGTTATGACCTATGTTACCCTGGAAAAGTCTGCCCACCTGGTGACAGGAATTTCTGGCCTGTAATTCATGGCTTTGCAATGATAGAAATTTATTTAGTCTCAAGGTTTCGATCATAAGATAAACGAATAGCAATGCCATAGATTTCAGAACTGTAAAAAGGAGTAAAAATAGGTCATTTTATTTTACTGTTCAGGATACAAACCACTTTAATGGTTTTCTTACTGAAAACTGTCCCATTTCTGGGGCACTGCTCTTAGAGTCAGTGCACATAAAACCCCCTGTGATGGAAAAATCCAATCATTAGCTTTACCATGTGACCTTGCAAGGACCTTTTAACCCCACCAAGCCACACTTTTCTCATCTATAAAATGAGAGGTTTATAGCTGACTTTTTATGTCTATTTCAAGATTCTACGATTCCACTGGGCCTTTCAGGTTAATTTTATAAAACCTGTAAGCAAACATACTTTACCTTGCCATTATGTAGTTCCCTCAGTGTCAAATAAACAGACATTAAACTCTCCAGTTAATTACAGAAATGAAGACCAAAATGCTTGGGCACAAACTGGAGAGCTATAGAAGTGATGGGTGCCTGTGATTCTTTTAAGCAATATATACTGAATTTACTTTTCTACTTAGCGATAAGGTTTGGATTTTGGTTCTTTGCATTTTCTTCATGGAAATAAACACTATCTTTTCTCAATTAAAACTTATAGTCCTCAGGAAGTTAATTCTGCAGAGTACTTCATCTGTGTTTACACTTTCAGCACCACCCCTCCAACCTCTGCCCACATATACATTATAAAATGTGTTATTGACACATATGGCATGAGCACACACACAAAAACCAGAGAAGTAAAATGTCATGACAAACAATGACTATGACAGAGGAGAGTGTATGGTGGCAATGGTACTCTAGGCGTGGTCTGTGAGGAGATGTAGCTACATGACAGGTTTTACAGAGAAGTCAAAATATGTTATTTGCAAACAGAAGCATGTTGGGGAGACATATAAAAGCCGTAAAGCAGTACCTGACCAGAAAGGAGTGGAAGAAGGGGGAACAAAGCTGTAGTCTGGAGGAGTTAAAAAAGAAAAGCCACAGAACAAAGAGGGGGCTTAGAGAAAGAAAGAAAAAGAGAGAGCAAAAGAAAATTTAGGAATTGGCAAAAGTTATCTCAACACAACTAATTTTGTTGTCTGTGATCATAAGAAAATTGTCACATGCGCGTTGGAATAATAAGCTGGGTTTTTTACCCGCCACTCTTTTGTTAGCATTTCTGAATAAATAGGCCAAACTTTCACATTTGTATTGGCACTTGCTCTGCAGTTCAGGACTTTATAGAGAAAGTCAAACCCACTCCATATTGCCGCTTTTGAACTCCATCCATCCAAGGGTGGTCAGGGATGGCCTTCTCCTCTTGATGTGGTGCCCAGCTCCCACTTGGTTGCCACAGTGGCTAGGAGGATCTCATCAATTCTTATGTAAATGTAGTTTACATCAAAACTAGTGCTAGTAAGTAAGTGCTTATAGAGAGATGTTTGTTAAATATGCAAGTCCCATAGAAAATTCCAGGAAATCAGCCACATGTTTTGTTAGGTTCAAGTTTTATCACCAATTAAGCATAAACATCTCAGCTTACTTTTAAAAGTGGAAAACGCCAAGGAAAACCACTCTGAATCATCCTTGAGAAAGAAAGTGAGTGTATCCTCCAAACAAGCTATATGCATCTGGGAGCTCCAAACTTTATACTTTTAGCAAGAGTTAATAACAATAATCAAACATTTTGATGTGTTAAAATAGTGTGGTCAATATATTGAGTATTTCATTTAATCATTACTTCAACTCTAGAAGCAAAACAATACCATTTCCCCTTTTGATCTAAGAAAACGTAGGTTAGAACTCAAGCAAGAAAGACTCCAGATTCCACATTCTTAACTACTGCTGCATAGCTCTGCATCTACCCCTCTGCCTCACACACCTCTACAGGAGGCTATAAAATGTGACCTACTGAAAGCATGGTACCATTAGAATGAAATAGGAACATGCACTGAAAAGTTTCTCCCAATATTTGTTTCCTTCTTATTTAATGTAATAGATTCTTCAGTTCAATCACGTCTCCTCAGGAAGAAAATTGCATCTTTCAGCCTCTCTTGCAATTTGGTATAGCTATATGGTCATGCTTTGGCCAATAAGATACAGACAGACACATTATAAGCAGCTTCTGGGAACTTTCCTCACAGGACAGCAGGCACATGCCTTTGCCCTTCTTTACAATTCCTAGTTCTGTTGTGCTATTTGGCATATCAAAGCTACCAATCTAGGTCTGTGGTCACCTTCAGGCTAACAGAGCATGAACTTGAGGAATCAGAGTTACTAAACCTTTCATGGAACACAGGTGGCCTGCCTTCCCTTCAGCCATTGACTGACTAATGTAAAGTTTTTAGAGGAAAGAGAAATAAATGATGTACTCCTTTTAAGTCAATTGGCTTGGATTTCTGTCCCTTGTACCTGAACTGAATATTAACCAGTCCAGAAAAAGCTTTCCACAACCAAAGATAATGTAAAACTGGACTAAGAAAACTGGGCACGACTTCATACAATCTTCCTTTATTTTCTGCCTCTTTTCAGGCAGCTGCTTGACTTTGAAAGACACAGAATTCTCTGAATTGTCAGAGAGGGATTCTAGGGAGGCCTAAGAAGAGCACTAGCTGTTATAGGGATCACCAGACTCCAGCCAAGCAGACTGACCAGGGTAACCGGGGGAAGGTCAACTGCTTTTGGAATTATGGATCTTGGAGCTTTGATGTCCTCCGTGATATAGTCATTACACTCTTTTCTGACAATGTTCTCACATGTATATTTTGTACCTGCCTTCAAAGTATATGCTTAACAGTAGTCAACAGTCTTTTTCTATTCCATTTGTAAGTTTTACAGGTTCTGTTTTCTAAGAAAACTTTAAAATATGTCGGTACATACCTTCACAACTACTTGCCTATTAATTTATGATTATACAGTAGATCTGACACATCACCTTCTTAAGGTCATGATACACTCATGACTACAGAATAGAGTAGATGTCTTTTTTTCATTTATGTGGTTTTTTCCCCCCAATACTAGGGATTGAACCCTGGGCCTTGCACATGCTAGGCAGGTGTGCTACCACTGAGCTATATCCCCAGGCCCGAGCCACAACTCCAGCTTCTTTCTTATAAAGTAAATAGCATATACTTATTCTATTACAGGTAAAAAGTCTGCTCCCAAGAGACCTACTTTATGTCTGGGAAAATTTAAAGCCCTCATTGTATACATTACTCTGGCAAGAATTAGAATTTTCTCCTTGGACTGTTTTGTGACTATCCTTCATTCTTGTTCTGTGACTATTTTATTCGTAAGGATTAAAAAAAAACTGTATTTCTCCAAAAATTCTAATGAAGGTAATTTAAGCCAAGAGCCTAAAATATAACAAGAGATAACTTATCTCTAAAAGGAAGAAATGAAAACTCAATGAAACAAATTAAGTGCAATTAAAATAATCTTACTAATATTAAAAATAGGTAGATAAATTAGATTGATAGCTTGTCTATAATCTTAAAATATCTAACATTCCTGATGTAATTTGGGCAATTCTTTTCCAAATGACTTGAATTTCTATTTCAATAACATATTACCAGGTTGCTACCCCTGTCTCTTATCTAACCCTAATTTCCTCATAATTATCTGTATTCATGTCAAACAGCTAGAATTTAAACCTTCTCAAAGCTGACCTAAAATACTGTAACTCCAACTAAAAATAGTCCTTACATTTGGCTTCAGCCTCTCCTGGTCTTACTAGACTAGCTTTTGTTTCCTGATGAGTGGAACAGATTCTTGGATGTGCTTTGTTTCTTTACCTGAATTCCAGTCTGTGATTTCCAGTGTTTTTATAACACTGGCCTAAAGTATAGAGATTATCTTAAATTTAACTTGATTGAAAAATCAACCCATCATCTTTCTCATTATAATCTAGTTCAACTTTTTACTTGCAGGAATGCACTGCTTTCTTTGTGAACTACCCTTGCAAAGTCAGTGTACTGCTAAATTTACTATTCTCTCTAAGTTCAATACCTTCTTCCACTGCAATCAAATTTAACCCTTCATTAACTCTGAGCTTTACCTTCCCAATCCCAGTGCTAATGTCAATTCTAACCTCAGACCATAGCCCTCCAACTGATCTTGCTTTCAACTTTGTTATCATTCTCTTTTAAATACTGCTTCTTGCTACTTGCTACACAAGCCTAATGTAGATTTTGTCTTTGCATTTGCTAAACTATGAAATTCAAACTCAACATGAATTCCATACCATTTCATCATCTGACACCTTGTGCTTCGTAACCAAATCTATCATGATTTTCAAATATGAATTCTTTTTACCCTGAACAGCTTCCAACTTCCTCCTAAGGCTGTCAGCTGTATTTTCAACTCAGAATTCTACTTATTCTAGAATATTGTTCCTACCTTTGGGCTCTACTAACCTAAACTGTCTCTGAAAGTCTAGCTCAGTTCCCTCCTGTGAGTTTCCCTGTCCAATCCAGATACTACTTGTCCCCTTTCCTAAACATGATGCTAAGCATTTACAACATGGTACTTTGGGGCTCTGTTATTAATGAGGGCAAATGCCCCAGGTTGCATCTCCAGTTAGACATTGATTCTGGAAGGCAGGGGCAAGTTCTCTTATTGTTTCTGTGTCTCCCACAGAATGGGGTCCAGATTGAAGCAACTGAATAGACAAGTATCTCAGCAGAGCACTTAATTTTGTAAGCTCCTTCTGTCTCTTTCTTCTATTCATTTATCTCCTCTTTTGCTCACTGAACTACCTGTTCAATAAGACTTTCAACAAAGGCTGGCAAAACACAATGAAAGTGAAATATGTCCGGGTCCCATTTTTCTGGCTTCTTCAGAGCCATAATATATTAGTGATATTTCTACAATAGCTAACTTTTTTCTGAGATTCTGAACAGCTATTTAATGCTGTATGTCTCATAACATTAACTACACTATGTGCCTGAGGAATCTTCTTTGGAGTAAAAGGTTAACCAGTTTTTCCTGCCACCCACTCTATAGCTCTCAGCCAGCCGTTTTAAGAATTTGTGGAGATGCTTTCCACTTTTGTATACATGGTAACATGATTACCTTTTGCTACTCTACCTGTCGATTTTTACTGCCTTTGGGTCCTTAATTCTCTTGAGCTGGAAAAATATCTTTGAGTGTCTGGCACCTACTGATACAAGAATAAAATATAACTTGTTTTCCTAGTAAAATATGGATTTAAATGTAGATGGAAGCAATATCCAAATAAGATGTTTGATAATAACATTTTGCAGAAGGTTTAATTTGTAAGACATATTTACATCTATGCTGAGAATATAAACATGCATCTCTATACACATATGCAGATTAGTACAAGAAGGACATTGCGTGCAGGTCTTGGAATAGAATGAAAAGAGTCCGGCAATAGTGATATTCAACTGGGAATGGTGCTGACTATTATCTTCTGGACTCTTCATTCACTGCCTAACATTACAGAGAAGCCTTCCTGCTAGTGCCTCATGTTTTTTGAAAGTTTCTTGAGAGACTACTCTTTTATTCATATCAGTACGTAAGTAGAAAATATTAAATTAATATTGAGCCTTTTCTAATTAAGGTAATCATTTGCAAATTGCATGCTTTTCAGATAAGGGCCTAATTTTTCTCCTTCTTTAAACACTTTCAACTCTATATTAGGACAAGAGTACTAGTTAAGAATCTTAGTTGGAGAGACTGAAGAGGAAGGAAGGGCCCTGCTTATTCCACATGTGTATGACACCTGGCTCTTAACTAGGCTAACACATGGAATATTATTATCAAATGGATGGCTCATAATTTAGTGGCTTCGTATTTCCAATTATAAACTATAAAAAATACAGTCAAGTATTTATCAAAATTTTGAAGTTAAAAAAACAAAACATGAAATACTAGTAGTATCTAGTGGAAGTGGAAATAGAAGTTATCTATTTGATTGTCAGTAACATTTGAAATTTATATGCGTTAGAGATCATAATCAATCAACAATCTTCCCTAAGGTGTTGGTTATCAAAT